AAAATGTTGGCCTTGTCTTGGTATCAACCGCTAAACGTCTTGGTATTGTCTTGGTCCTAATGCTTAAAATGTTGGCCTTGTCTTGGTATCAACCGCTAAACGTCTTGGTATTGTCTTGGTCCTAATGCTAAATGTCTTGGCCTTGTCTTGGTCCCAACCTTTAAATGTCTTGGTCTTGTCTTGGTCTCCACCTCTAAATGTTGGCACTGTCTTGGTCTCCACCTCTAAAGGTATTGGTTTTGTCTCCATCTCGACCTTTAAATGTGTGTGCCTTGTCTTAGTCTTGACTTCCAAATGTCTTGGCGTTGTCTTGGTCTCGGTACTCTCTGGTCTCAGTAATGTCTTGGTTTAGGACTGCTGTGGTCTTGACTAGAACACTACTGTAGACCCCGCTGTAGCTGATCATTAATGAAAATATCATGGAAAATTACCAGAATAACAGATTCTGTTCAGAGCAGCTGATAAATAAATTTACATACACCAGATCAATGTTAGCATCATCACCACACATTTTTAATGTGCCAGATTCATTTTTGTTGTTTAAAAAAATATTGAAATATTCCTTAGTTTTCTTTCAGTCTTAAAACTTAATTGCATTGACATGAAACTAGCATACAAATTGAATCACACAAGGAACACTAAAGATAAACAATTATGATACAATAAAATTACTGTATATCAGGATCAACTTTATATACTTGTAATGCTTTATTCAAACAGGAAACTAACACTCTAATCATATATCTTTCTAGATGAGGGTGATTTTTTTGTCTAACAAACTAAGGAAGTTGAAACAGTCATCTTTTGATAACCTTTTATCTTTTGACTAAAAATAAACCCTGTGGCCTTCAAAAAAGGTTGTTGCAGATTCAAACAGGACATCAAGTAATTTTACTATTCAGGATAGTTAATTTTCATTGGTATGTTGAAAGATCAAAATAACCTTATATCTATTTGAGTTGAGAAATAAGGCAATGCTATTAGAAAAAAACAACTTTATAACAAGATAACATATTTTGTTATGGTCAGCTTTTTACACCAATAATTTCCTGGAACTTACTCAAGCTCTGCTATGACTTCTGGAAGCGTTTTAACAATACTTTTGATTTCCTTAGATGCCTCCTGGTATTTTTCACTTTCATTTCCAAGGAGAGTTGTCCGTGCAAGAGTATTGTCAATTTTCTGTAAGGTGACACTGAGCAAATCCTGCCAATACAGAAAATAAATAAACTTTGAAATGGCTGGATGAAACATATTTTGTTTTAACAATATGTTCCAACAAATCATGTGGATCAATGATGGTGTCTACGAATGTGCACTAAAAATGAAACATGTTTTGAATTCTTACTTCAGCAGCTTTAAGCTGGTCCCGTTTTAACTCATTGTCCTTCTGTAGGTTAACTAATGTCTTCTTGTGTTCACACTGCAGCTTTTCAAAATTTTCAGCAAGTTCCTTCATTCCCTGCTCAAACAAACAATGAAATCTGTTATGCTAATTACAATTCTTACAGTCCCATATATTATTAGAACCACTTGTAATAATATTATGTAATAATATTTTGACAGGGAGATTATGCTATAAAAGTTACATTTTTATTTAGGCTTTCCACACATTGTTAACAGTGTTAACAGTGGTACCTATAAATGTTGAAGGTCCTTTAGGAGGATGAGTGGTATTTTATTAGGATGCATCTTAACCCCTTCATCCTTAAAATGAGATTGTTGCTGATGACATGACTAAAAAATTTAACTTAGGTCATTGCCAAACCAGATTTATCAGTTCTATTTTTTAGTAAAAGTTTTAATGATGTTCTGGTTGTCTCTGTTTGCAATGTGAGGTGAGTCACTGCCCTCTAAAAGCCATTTCTGACCAGATAGAGATCACCAATAATCAAGTGTGTCTGAATAACATATATTCTGGTCTAGTTATTTCCATTTTGAAACAGCTATACTCCAGGAACTACAAATCCTACAAATATATTCACATTCGGAAGTATTTCTTCAGCAGTACATCTAAAGCCAATTCGTACATCACTAACAGAGGTGTCATTAAATGCAGAAGGTGCTGTATTTGATAACATGCATACCAATTTTATTTAAAGGAAATGCTGTATCTTCAAACATAATGTATTTCTTGTGTGTACCTTAATTTTAGTCTCCAGAGTTTGTGTTGCAGAGGATGATTCATCAAATTCTTTCTGCAGCTGTTGGTTAGTTAGCTCTGAACTTCCTTGTTGTTTCTTTAGTTCATTATTCACATTTGTCCTAAGAGCCTTATTGAAAAGAAATTTTGAAGACAATCTGAGCTTGGCTTTTAGGTATTTTCATAATTTTTGTAAAAATATTACATAGTATTTAAAAAATACTGATCTCAATTTAGCCTCAATGAGTCAATTTATTCAATCAAGAGAAATTTTAAACAAATCTCTCAAATTTACCTTTAGTTCTTCTAGAGTAGCCAAGTTGGTTGTCAGGTCCTTATTCATATTGTCAATCATTTCCTGAATAATGCAGAAATAACACTGAATATCAGTTGTAAAAATGATCAAAACCTGAGAATTGTAGATAGAAATAGACATATGTTTCCTCTGACCCTAGCCTTCTGTTCTTCCATGAAGGTGAACTGCTCCTGCTCTTCCAGCTTAGCCTTTATGACACTATGCTGGGCGACAACCTGGGTCACCTCCTTCTTGGCCTTTTCCCACTGTTCGTCATTCTCAGTGATTTTCTGGAGCATCTGCTTCCTCTCCTCATGCATCTGCTTCACTGCTTTCTCGCTAACAAAGCACACAGTAAAGCATGTATATGGAATGAACACAAATAAGTGCTCACCATATTGTGCAGGCAGTGGTATAACTTAAAACATACTCCAACACTAATTTGGATTTGGTGCGTTACCTATTACAGATTCTCATCTTGTAGTCTTCCACCTTCTGTTCATATTCCTGCTTTTCTTTACATAGATCCGTAAAGGCTTTGTGTTTTGACTGAAGCTGTTCCTCTGTGATGGAAACTTCTGCTTCCCACATGGGTTTCTGTGGAGTAAACATGGTATAGAGAACGGATTATAAACAGGTTCAGGACAGCAGCAGTTTTATTGTTACCTGATAGTTACCTCATAATTCGTAAAACATTTGATTGATAAAGTAAAGTAAAGTAAAGTTACAGGAAAGAAGTGGAGAAAAAAAAATTATATATATATATAGATTATATGGAAATAATCTGTTTGTTACTCAATAAAACGTACATACACAAGTTTAACATGGAAAAACAATAAAAAGCAGAAATGAAAATAACTAAGCCAAAATATGGCATGTTTAAAAATAGATTTTACATGGTCAAATTTTCTACATGTAAGAGTTTTCCCTCCCAGTTTTTTAAACCTTCCCATGCAATATAACAAACGGTCACACGTTCTACATAATTTACTATATAATTTCATACATGTGGGCATCATATATAGTTCTAAGAGATTCGTATGCGGAAAAAGGCCTGAGTATCACATGTGATACTTTGTGTTTAAAAATAGAATTCACATGTGAATTCTATTTTTGAACATGTGTAGCATCCAGGTTTAGTTTTTGTGTGTTTCATGAACGCACAAATGCTGAACGAATTCGGCTTACAGGCAAAGTTGAAGTTAACCACTAAAATGTTAAACCCTTTTTACATAAAATTTCATGTGCTTCCCTGGGATTTTGAATGCATCTATGTTTTCGTTGCATAAGGAGACTGTTGCAGTTCTGCTTACCTTTCTGTTTATCTCGTCTTGCTTTGAAGTTAGTTTTTCTTTAAGCTTTTGATTTTTTTGGATTTCATTCTCAATTTTGAGACTGAGTTGCAAAATCTGTGGAATAAAACAAGCAAAACAGGTAATGCAAATAAAGTGCCTTTTTTTCACTTAAAAAGCGATTTATGTGGAGAGACAAAAACAGTTTCAAGTTACCTTCTCTTCTTCAAGTTTTTCAAACTCAACAATTTTAGGGATTTGCTGAACTACTTGTTTGCACTGGTTTTCGGTAACAGTGATAGTTTCCTCTGTTTCCTTCATCTCTGCAAGTAGACTTTTCTCAACCATCTTCAACTGTTTTAAATTCTCCCTACAGGACAAAAGTAATTTCTTAAATCTTTGGTCATTTTCAGCTTCGCTTGAATTAAAACACTCCCCATCAATGACAGATATGTTTGTAAAAAGAAAAATAATAACTAAAATCTTTTTTTAAGTTTGCTAGAAATATCTATAATAAATTTTATGTGGGTAACTGTATAATCTAGTCTGCATCAAATAGAAATATTTATGCACATGGTTTTACCTAAACTATGGAAATACCATTTTAACTACATATAAATTACAGGTGTTAAAAGTTTTAAATACATATGTTTTGTTCAAAAAATAATAACTGTTTTTACAGGAAAATCTAAATAGGTAAGAAAATAATTAAAAAGTCAAGTCAAAAAGTAAAACTCATAATTTGGTGTGTATAAAAAGAGAAATATATATCCAGCATTAATTTCTGTTAATTTTGAAAATTAGAGTTTGCAGCTGATGAAGAACAAAGATGCAGTTTTCAAGAACTTAGATAATGAATTTAGACTAATAAAAATAGGAATGTGGGTTAACTGAAAGGTGCATTAATGCACTGTACAGTCTTATGCACTCATCACTGGATTAGAACTTCTCTGTCTAAATGACAGTATTAATGCATCGCTGCATGAAGCTGATCTGCCTGAGGCTCTGCTGAAGGAAGCCTAGATTACTTAAACAGCTGTTTAACTAAACTCAAAAAAATACTACATTATTGTAACTGTAATAATTAATAGTATATATTATTTTAACCAACAGAAAAGAGGATTAATGTTTAATTTATTGTTGATAATTTATTGTTGATAAATTACCTGTATCTTTTTTTTGCTTATCTTTATGTTAATATTGTGACAGACATACTGTGTTGTAATATTCAGTCAAGAATTTTGTGCCCATGAGGATCTTGTCGAAACTAAGGTGAGTTTGCTGGCTAATCAAGCACAGCAACATCATCGTCAATAAACATCCCACTGATACTTTTGTCATTTTGGTAGGTGTCAACTGTCAGGTCCCGCCAGAAATCTTTAGCTATTAAAAGCTTGTCTTCAGAGGGAAATATGAAGCGCTCTAAAATCCACTAGAACATGGCTGAGCGGATAGTAGCACACTAGAAAAGACATCAGCAGATGAATTAACACCCGAAAACTGTGGAAATTTCACAATGGGCCTTAAGCAATCTAGATTCTTTACCTCTCCACTCCTAATCCAGTGTCTGTGAACATGGTTTCAAACTGAAAGTCAGATTTAATATAAAAATAGGACATTCAACTTATATTCTATTTCACTTTCTGGAAGTATCTAAGTGTCTTAAAGAACCAAGTTAACTTTCCTTCATAATCTGCTAAAGGTTGGCATGCCCCAGTTGCTAGTTATTTTTTTGTAAACATTGTTTTTCCATTCACTCAACGTTCCATTGACATGCTTGGATACGGCACTCTAATTTGCCCCAGTGACAGACAAGTACCTGAGGGCTTACCTTGATACTGTAACACTTTCATAGGCCATAACGTAATATACCGTACAACAAAAACTACAAATAAAAAAAGTAAATATTAATGTAATTTTGAGAGATTTATGAATGGGCTTCACCCTGAAGTGAAATAAAGAGAAAACATGCATCTTGATTTTTTTTTTTCTTTTTCTTTTAATTGAAACTGTATTCTCGATAAGCATGAAAACTTCTCATAAAACGTGTTTTTATGAAGCCCCTACAGTTTTACATCAAGGGTTTTGAAAACAGGTTTTTAAAAGAGCAAATCAGCCTAACAGTCGCAGCTACATTTAACTGCAAGAAGCTAAGTAAAAAAATGTTGTACAGTGTTCAATTTGTTTTTGTATAGACGATATTTACATATATACATATATATTTATATACTCACATTTTTTCTGCTAGCTGACTTTCCATTTCCATCTTTCTATGGTCTAATAATGTAATTTCCTTCTTGGCTTCAGTTTTCATCTCCCTTAACTCCATCTGAGCCTGAGAGAGATGGCTGCTTGTTTCTGAGTAAACCTCATCAGCCTAAACAAAAGATATGGTGTTATGTATTAACAGTTTCCTTAAGAACCATTTTATGAAAATAATGAGGTAAATGGAAAGACAGTATACTGCTACTATACAGCAACTAAAGCCCATTCTTAAAAGATGCTCAAATAAACCATTGCTATAAAATATCATCGTTTAAAAAGGTGTTGCTATTTACATTTTACCACAACGATGATCATAAAAGGCCAAGGGATCCCTCAAGAGAATCATTTTCTAAGCAGTAAGTCATTCGGGGGACATTTTATACAGTTACTGTACAGTGCCTGCACAAGTAGGACTTCTTTATATTACAATCCCCAGCATTTAATCCAATTTTAAGAGATAACCCACATAAAAAATGTAAAGAAAAAGGAAAAGTACACACACACACACTGTACACTTAACACCTAAATAAAATCCAAAGCTTTTAGAATTTGTTTGCAGCATGATGACAAAACATTAGAACTGAAGAAAAATGTGTTGCTTTTACCATCAGTCATTCTGCTCTGTTAATTTAGTTATACAGCATTAAAAAACTGAAAAGTGCTCCCCTCTTTACCTATATATTTAAAAACATTTTTCTTAGATCTCTTAAATTTTTGCCCACATTTATAAGCCATTGCAGACAACTTTAACAGACCCCATGTGGGTGCAGAGCCACAGGTAACAAACCCCATGTATCTTATCCCAATAAGATACATGGTAGTTTGTGGTTGGAATGTGACAAAACATAAAAAATTCGAGTTGTATGAATTTCTTTGCAAGACTCTGTTAAGTGTACGCTAGGGTATTGGGGTTTGCTAAAAATCTGAAGGCTCAAAAGACAAACACACCATAAACCCCTGAGCTCCTTCTCCACTGTGACTGTAGCCCCTTCTTTCAGCTCGGGTAGCATTTTTGATATGCATTTACCTGGATTAATTCGCTTTCTGAGGCCTAGCCTATCAAGCTAAAGCTTTCCAACAACTCCCCTGTTAAATGGTTACCTGAGCTTTCTATGTCACCTTGTTTTTGTGTGTGGCTCAGTTTTTTGTCAATATAGCTCTAGGAATTAATGTCCCAGGGATAGATGGGACCGTTATGGTTGTTGCCATAAGGTTCAACTTGGTACTTGGTACTACATGACACTTTATTGAAAATTATTTAGGGAGTAAAATCGTATAGAATTGACATGGAAAAAGAAGTGAGAAAGAAAAAGAGGATAAGAACTAAGGGAAGACAGAAAGATACAGACAGGAAAGAGCAAAAAATAAAACAAAATCGCAAGAGTAGACAACACAGAGGATATACAGTATTTTATGGCACATTTAAAAACTCCTGCATAACAATGACTCTGGTATAGTGCATTGGTGGACGGTTAAATTAATTAAACTAAGGTGTACCTTAGCTTTGGCGGTATCAATCTGATGTAAAATGTCTTTCTGGCAGTCCAGGTTTTCATTCACAATAAGAATTTGGTTTTGGACAAACTGGATCTCTTCCTCTATTTTCCGGTTCAGAACCTCAGCCTGCAACAGTTTCTCCTGGACTTGTTCAACTTTCTGTTTTTCCAGTTCAAGCTGCCACTTCAGCTCTGTGATGTCTCGGCTGCAAGCCTCGTGCTCTAGTGAAAGCAAGGACCAACGATAAATAGCAAGCATATTAACTGGATTTGGAGGAAACAGAACAGTACTTCTTTACAGGAGATAAATGGATCATAAATAATGTGGCAGCTCACAATCACTGACCTTTCTGAACAACCAAGGGGTGCTCGATTAGCTTCCACTGTGAAATACTGTCCACTTGGCTCTCTAAGGTTTTTCCTATTCTCTTCTCTTTCTGCAGGGCTTCCTCTGCATACTGTCGATCAGCTTCCAAACGCTCCACAAGATGCACAACTTCAGACAGGACATCATTTATTTTCTTCTGGAGAGGGCATCTTTGATCCCTTTCTAAAGGAGGACAAGTTACAATGCAATCTTTTTTTTTTTTTATCTAAACTTGCTAAAACCTGTAGTAAGCAAAAAAACAAAATAGGTGGACAGTTGCAACAGATTATGTTTTGGGGTATTGCAGAAATAAACAAAAGAAAAGGACTTTTCACCTCTTGCACTAATCGCTATGCCTTCAACATACAATTCTGAGGAGTCAGAATGTGAGTCTCTCAACTGAGCTCTGTAAAAACAGTCAAACCCATGTCATGATGAAAGCATTAAGGGTAAAAAGAAACTACAGTATAAGGAAATAAACAGCTCACCTTAGAGGTTTACTGTAAATGGGTTTACTTGGATAAATCTCTGGTTGATATTTCCTGTGCTGGAAAAAGATTAAAGAAGCAAAAGAAGTATTTTTACTGATTTTATCCTAATTGAAAAAAAATAAACCGTTAAAACTCAATGCATATCTTACAGTTCACACTTTTTTTTTTTTTTTTACCTTGTGAAACCAGTTTTCTGTTAGACTCCTCATTTTTTGGATATGGCCGATAGCACTGTTGACACATGGTGAGGGACTGTTGAGCAAAGCACAGGTCCGACGTCTACCAGAGCAGACTGGTTGAAGGTCTGCTTGATCTAATAAAAGACAAAATGTTTGGTATTCAGTTCCAACTGTGATTAATCATTTTCTCATGTACGTTATATAGTCACTGTAAGCAAACAAGCAATGATCTTTATATAACAGCAGAGCTCACAGCTATAATAAGCAATCATCTTCTAATGAAAACAAAAATAGAAAAGAGCTGGCTTTAGTTGAAGCAAACATGCACACAACTTTAATAATGATATTTTCCAAAGTAATTACTAAAATGTATTTGGCTGTGAAATATATTCCCTCTTTCTCTATTTTCCCACTGATTCTAGAGGCACAGCCTTTAAAATGGAAAAGAGAAAAGCAATCTGTCACTAGACAAACCAAGGGCACATTTCTCTGTGGTACAACGTCGCCATCTGGTGGGACTTATGGTGAAAGATGAATTGAGTGCAGTTTATAGGTTTGATAATACAGTACTTTATTATCAAAAAAGAAATATTTTCATGCAGAGATTTAAAAAAAAAAAATGTATTAACCAAAACATAACCATGTTGGTATTTTGAACCATTAATGCGCCTAAAAAACAACTCTAAACTGTAATACCAGCATAACTTTAACATCATTTTGAGCACAAAAACTAGCAAAAGCAAGACACAGAAAAACATCTTAGAACATGTATTTTTTTGACAGGTGGCTAAACTCTAATAACTAATATAATTTTTGCTTTTTTATTCAAATTTTCTATCAAATAAATATTTTAACTTATACAAAAATTTTAATAGTAGACATATAATTATAGTCATGGACCACCCTCTGAATTTTTTGGGGAGGGCATTTTGTCATGTTTATTGTATATTTAAGGTAATATACCCTTTAGAACAACTGTGGCTGATAATTTCTGAATGAAGACACTAAATGCTTAGCACTCGGTTGGACAAAAAAAATTAACAAACAGCAGAATATGTGTTATATAACGTAATTACAGTAGGTTGCATGATAACATAATTAGATGTTATGATTTTATTCAATCTATAATTATTGTAAATCATTTTCACCTGGAGAGACTGAAACAGAGAAAGGAAAGTGATTACAAAGTGCTATTGATAAAGAAATAAAGAAATACTTCTACTTCTTTGGTGCTTAAGATACAGCTGAAAATAATCGGAGCTGAAAGCAGTGGATCTGACCAGAGTCTGACACTGGTGGTGAAATGCAAGCCAAAAAATAAAGAAGGTCACGAGGCGGACAGGGTTGAGGTTTGGCTGGAAAACAAGAGCATCCTTGGCTTAGAACGTTTAAATGCAAAGTCTTGAGCAATGATTGGCTGAGATGAGGCCACGGACCTGTGTTGATTGGCTGAAGCAGGGGCGCACAATTAGACAATGAGAGTCTTCCCTTTAAATTGACACCTAGACTTCATTTCACAGACTGCACAGTATGTGAGGGAATAATTTAGGCTTAGTTAGTTAGAGGATTAAGCTCTATTTAGTTTTAAATGATTCCCTGTCAAATCTGACAAGCTTCCTGTTCCCATTGAGGGAAACATTTTGCCACAGCATGATGCTTCCACTATTTACTGTTGGTGTGGTGTGTTCAGGGTAATGTGCCATATTAGTTCCCCCCACACATGTAGCCTTAAATGTCTTTTTTGGACTCATCTGACAAAACCTTCTTTCACATGTCTGCTGTCCTGTTTATTCATTACTGTTCTTATAACATTTTCGGAGTCCTTCCCAGAACATCGGCATGAGCTCTGAGACAATCTGTAGCCATCATGATCAAAGGCTACAGTAGATTTCATTTCCAGTGTTGTCATTGCTCTATAAGCCAAACAGGTCATGGGTAAAAAAAAAAAGAAAGAAACACAGGCAATGTTTAGATTTACAGCCACAGGTGTATCTTCTTGCCATCTGTATATCTCACAAAAAAGTGTCTGGCCCCACATTGATTACTGTCTTGCACCAGTGAAAATGTAGAAATAAGGAAGATCAGCAACCTTTCCTATGTGACAACCAATTAGCAACAAAGATCCTTTAACTGGCAGAGTGTCAAATATGTGAGCAGCTTCAGATAAGCAGAGACTAATGTGAACAAAAGGGAAAACAATAATAAAGACCATCTGCTGTTGGGAAGCATAGATGAATAATAATACACTGCAAAAAAATAAAAATAAAAAACTGGAGCAGGAAGGTGGTAAGGCAATATGTCAGTTTGTGAAATTTGCTCTTAATCATACTGGCAGGGTTATAATACCCCAGAAGCAGCTCAAAGAGCCAACAATCTACTGTGAAGCAGAGGAAATAACATTTATTAATACTTTATTTAGTTATAACTTTAATATCTCTGAGAGCACAGCACAGGATTAGGAGCACAGCTCGACCAACAGATGCAGCCGTAGTGATGTGAGCCACCTTTGCTCACTGAATGGAACATTTTTTTTGTTTGCTTTTCTTTTTTTTTTCTTAAAGCCAAAGAATACTGCAATATACAGTTTCTAAGTTTTCTTATCAAAAATGTGGTTTTGTTTTTTTCAACTAAATGAATGTCCCTTTATTAAAAACTGAATAAAAAAAAATAAGCATTCAATGATGCTACCACAATTAAAGTGTATCATTGAAACTACATAGCTTAATGCCATTTTCTCATTGGTGGTTTTAGATAAGTGCCAACAGTCCCCTCCTGAATGTACATAAAACACACATTTGGAGTCACAAAAAAATAAATAAAATAATAATAAAAATAACTAATGACATGATAGTTTCATTCTGTCTGTTGAATATAATAATCTCCATTAATAAATTTTTGTTTTCATAAATAGGTTTCACACATGCATATCTGATAGAATCTGTAATCAGTGTAAAACCAGCATGAGGGTTTTACGCTTGTCTCTATTAAAACTGGCCTGATGCCAAAAGGTTTTTCACAATTTCACAAATTAAAAAATTATTTTAATTGATCTTAATTAGTGGGGGGGTGGGCATTTTAAGTATGACAAACAAAGTGTTGTAGATTTTTTAATTTAGAGCTGACCCAACACAATCTATGTTTTAAAAGCGACTATCCCTTAACCGCTTTGGTCCTCTGACACAATGTTATCCTAGGTAAGTAGCCCTTTAAGAATAAATGATCATTTACAAAAATGCTATTCTTCTATATTCACAAAATGTTTTAAAATTGAAATGTTCAAAGTTTGTTGAAATGGCCTCTTAACCATGAAACCATCCATCTAAACTAACTAGGGGAGAAGATAATCTGCAGATGGCTGCAGTTTTTCTCATTTTCTCACAAGGTTTCTGCTCACCTTGTTGACTTGATAGTCCTTCGCTGGAAGGTAATGTGAGAGGTTCAACATCTGACATGTCTCAAAATTTACTGTGAAAATGACGACTTTAAACCTGTGGGGAAGCATTGTGAAAGCCCACATAAACAAAATTAATCTCAATCTCTTTTGTCGCATTAGTCCTAGGTTTTCTTAACTCACACAGTTCAATTTAGTAACAAAGTTGGTAAACAAGAGGTAAACATACCTTTACGCATCTCCGGGTGTCGCTCTGTCAGCTGACGTTAAGTTAACGGTTAATTAACTGACCTAATGAGAATTTAATGAGCTGAGGGGGGTCGTTGTCATGGGAGAAAGTGAAGCCGAAAATAAGGGCTAGCTATCAACTTACTCAAACTTTTGGCTGCCAGTTCTGCATATGTTACTATAGCTCCCTGGTTTGTTTGGAAGTCTGAAAATACTGCGTTCAAGAGCTGTTCTTAGTCATGACAAGGTATAACAAGCTCAAAGGAAACGTTGAAGTAAAAATAGTTACATTTAAATGTTCAACTATTTTCTATTGGTCAAATATGAGCTTTTAGAAGAGACCATAAGTGAATAAAATCAAATAGCTAAATATGTGAATTGTAAAAGGAAGCAGAAATGCAATGCATTAGGCAAAACTCTAATAAAGATGGTAGTTTTATACTGAGATCTGAGCAGTTTGTGATGGAGTTCACATGCATTTCATAGCAAATTGCAGAAAAGGTTTCAATCTAGAATACATTCTTTAAGGGGTCCAGAACCTGTGGCTTCAGGGCCCTTTGAGATTAACACACAGAAGACTAGTGGTGCCACCAAACCTGTCTGAGTGGGTGTAAAAGCCCCCTTAATAATTGATCTGGGCACCACCTGAACCCTGTTTCTATTTAGGCAAATACTATTGCACAGGCAATGTAAAACTCCTGAAATTCAGTCGAAGAATCATGGTGAGTAAAGTGTCAAAGAAGCTGGTCAGAGTTGATGGGAAGATGGATGAAGATAGAATAGAATAGAAAATCCCTTTATTGTCCCACAATGGGGACATTCTGGTTGATCAGTTTAGAAAAAGTGGATAAGGCTGTTTGAAACTGAAGCAGACGTTCACCTCTTATGATTACAAAGAAACTATAACATTGGAGGGATAAAGATTAAAACATATCGATTGTTTCAAAGACTACAGATTAAAACAATAATCTGTGACAAGAATTGAAAACAGGTACATGCAATTGTCAGTCTGATTGAACCACATTACAAAGAATAAGGGACAAAAACATAACATAAAAACATGACATCAAAAGATGGAAGAAATAGGGGTTAGTTGGAACTGTTGCAAGGTATGATAATTGCAACTCTGTTGGATTAACCAATAAGCTTCCAGCTAGAGTGATGAGAATCCTAAAGCACATACTCAGTTCACACCTCCTTTGTGGAAGACAACAACCACACACCAATTGTTCAATTAGTAAGCTCTGAAAATAAGGTAAAAAAGTTATATTTTTATTGATCATATTTATTTGTGATCACATCCACATTTTCTGTATGAAGAACTTAACATATTTTATATAGCTGGAAACAGTGTTTCCTTCACCTTTAGTAGTCACAGTGTTGGTTCTAAAAATATTTTATGGGGTGTCATTCAATCTTTTATCGGTATCAAATTTGTTTTAGACTCCACCAATAATGTTCTCCAGGTCTACATTTATTTGATCCTTTTGGATACTTTCTCATCATCTCAAGTTTGTTTTCCCCTGACATGTTATTTAAGAAGCTTAATGGATTGTCTTAATTCTTTAAAATGTCAATCTATCAATCAATCCTTACTGTATGCACTTTTGCATACGATGGCATTAGTAATGGATTGTTAATGTTATATAATCCCTTTGGTAATATGATTCCTAGTTGAATGAGCTGACAATTTAAGAAAACATTTTTTTTTGTTTGTTTGTTTTTTGTTTTTTGAAAAAAAATCAGTGTCCCTCATTGCTTTTGCAACAATCCTCATATATGGGAGCAGTTGCAACACTTGACCTACCCATTTTAACCACATTGTACTTTCTTTAAATCAAGCTTCTAAATACAGTCTGCTGTGTAGGAGAATAGATGTGAGCGTGAATTTTTAAAATCTTGCTATTGTAATAAAAGAATTCTCTGTAAGTACATCTCATGGGGGTTCCCTCAGTACAAATTGACATAGCAGTTTCAGATCAGTTTGACGTTTGCTCTGAATGGATCATCTTTAAATGAATTCTAGCACTTTATTTGAGGAATCATTTCATATGTTTAAAACTAACTATATAAATAAATCTGAAATAACTCAATGATGATATATA